ACATAGACCAGAAGGTCGTTGATTATAATGCAAAAGTTAGAAACAAGCATAACATAACAAGCAGATACTGCATGGTTTAAAATAAGGAAGGGATCGTATCAGGGTTGTATCTTTTCACCATACTTATTCACTCTGTGTGCTAAGAAAATAATCCAAGAAGCTGGACTATATGAAGAAGAACACAGCATCAGGATTGGAAGAAGACTTATTAACAACCTGCGATATACAGACAACACAGCCTTGCTTGCTGAAAGTGAAGATGACTTGAAGCACTTAAAGACTACAGAAGATTAAAGACTACAGTCTGCAGTATGGATTTGTTGGTGTTAGATGCTGTCAAGTCTGCCTCATCTCATAATGACCCTATGTATGGCAGAACAGAACACTGCCTAGTCTTGTGACAGTCTCACAGTCCTTGCTATACCTGAGCCCATCATTGTACCCTCGGAATGGTTCTTTCTTACAATGTGACCACAGTAGGTGAGATGAAGTCTGGCTATTCTCGCCTCCAGGGAGGAATCTGCCTGCACCTCTTCCAGAACAGATTTGTTAGTTCTTTTAGCAGTCCATGGTACATTCAGCGTTCTTCACCAACACCACAACTCAAAAGCATCAACTCTCCTTCGGTCTTTCTTATTCGTTGTCTAGCTCTCACATGTATATGAGGCAATTGAAAATATCATGGCTTGGGTCAAGTGTACCTTAATCTTCAAGGAGTTATCTTTGCTCTTCAGCCCTTGGAATAGGTCATTTGCAGCAGATTTGCCAAAATGCTATATGTTGTCTGATATCTTACCTGCTGCTTCCATTGGTATTGATTGTAGAACTAAGTAATATAAAGTCTTTAACAACTTCATCCTTTCTCCATTTATCGTGATGCCACTTATTGATCCAGTTGCAAAAATTTTGGTTTTCTTTATATTGAGGTGTAATCCATACTGCAGACTGTAGTCTTCAATCTTCATCAGTAAGTGCTTCAAGTCATCCTCATTTTTAGCAAGCAAAGTTGTGTCATCAGAGTATCACAGGTTACTAATGAGTCTTCCTCCAATTCTGTTGCCACGTTCTTCTTCATATGGTCCAGCTTCTTGGAGTATTTGCTGAGCATACAGATTGAATAAGTATGGTGAAAGAATACAACCCTGACACACTCCCTTCTTGATTTTAAACTATGCAGTGAACTCTTATTCTATTTGAATGACAGCTTCCTGGTCTATATACAGATTCCTCATGAGTACAATTGAGTGTTCTGGAATTTCCATCCTTCTCAATGTTTCCCATGATTTGTTATGATCTACACAATCTAATGCTTTTTCATAGTCAAAGAACATAAGTAAACATATTTCTGGTATTCTTTGCTTTGAGTCAAGATCCATCTGACATCAGCAATGATATCTCTCATTCCACATCCTCTTCTGAATCCAGCTTGCATTTCTGGAAGTTCTCTGTCCATATACTGCTGCAACTGTTTTTTAATTATCTTCAGTAAAATTTTACATGCATGTGATATTAATGATATTGTTCAATAATTTCCACATTCTGTGGGATCACTTTTCTTTGGAATGGGTACAAATATGGATCACTTTCAGTCAGTTGATGAGGTAGCTATCTTCTGAATCTCTTGGCATAGCCAAGTGAGTGCCCCCAGTGGGGCATCCATTTATTGAAACATCTCAATGGGTATTCTGTCAATTCTTGGAGCCTCGTTCTTTGCCAATTCCTTCAGTGAAGCTTTGACTTCTTCTGTCAGTACCATTGGTTGTTGATCATATGCCACCTCCTGAAATAGATGAAGATAGGCCAGGTCTTTTTGGTACAGTGACTCTGTGTATTCCTTCCATCTTCTTTTGATGTTTCCTGCATCATTCGATATTTTGCCCATAGAGTCTTTCAGTATTGAAACTGGAGGCTTAAACTTTTTCCTTAATTCTTTCAGCTTGAGAAATGCTGAGTATATTCTTCCCTTTTGGTTTTCTAACTCCAGGTCTTTGCACATTTCATTATAGTAAATGGCTTTGCACCTCGAGCAGAAATCCTCTGTTCAACTCTTTTATCTTGTCATTTCTTCCATTTGCTTTAGCTACCCTCCACTCAAAGGCAAGTTTCAGAGTCTCTTCTGACATCCATTTTGGTCTCTCTTCCTTTCCTTTCTTTTTAATGACCTTTGCTTTCTGCATGGATGATGCTCTTGATGTCATCCCACAATTCTTCTGGTTTTTAGTCATTCGTGTTCAATGCATCAAATCTATTCTTTAGATGGCCTCTAAACTCAGGAGGGATATATTCAAGTCATATTTTAGCTCTCATGAACTTGTTTTAATTGTCTTCAACTTCAAATTGAAATTGCATTTGAGTAGTTGATGGTCTGTTCCACAATCAGCTTCTGGCCTTGTTTTGGCTAAAGTTATTGAGCTTTCCCATCACCTCTTGCCACAGATGTAGTAAATTTCATTCCTGTGTATTCCATGTGGTGAAGTCCATATGTACAGCTGCTGTTTGTGTTGTTGAAAAAAAAAGGTTTCTGCAATGAATAAGTCATTGGTCTTACAAAATTCTATCATGCAATTTCCAACATTATTTCTGTCACCACGGCCAAATTTTCCAACTACTGATGATTCTTCTTTGTTTCTAACTTTTGCATTCTAGTCACCAGTGATAAACAACACATTTTGATTGCATGTTCTGTCAATTTTAGACTGCAGAAGTTGATAAAAATCTTCAATTTCTTCATTTTTTATTTTGTTGGTGGTTATTGTTGTTGTTAAGTGCCATCGAGTCATTTCCAACTCATAGCGACCCCATGCACAGCAGAACGAAACACTGCCTGATGTATCAACTGGTCTTCTTTGTAGGTGTATGGCTATTATCCTATCACTTACAGCATTGTATTTGAGGAGAGATCCTGAAACATCCTTTGTGATGATGAATGTCACACCATTCCTCTTCAAATTGTCATTCCTAGCATAGTAGATCATATGGTTGTCTAATTCAATATGGCCAAAACTGGTCCATTTCAGCTCACTAATGCCTAGAATATCAATCTTTATGTGTTCCATTTCATTTTTGACAACTTTCAATTTTTCTAGATTCTTACTTAATACATTCTGTGTTCTGATTATTAATGGATGTTTGCAGCTGTTTTTTCTCATTTTGAGTCATGCCACATCAGCAGATGAAGGTCTGGAAAGCTGTACTTTATCTATATCATTAAGGTCAGCTCTACTCTGAGGAGGCAGCTGTTTCCCAGTTATATTTTGAGGGTCTTCCAACCTGAGGGGCTCATCTTCTGGCACTTATCAGATAATGTTTCAAGGCCATTAATAAAGCTGTCCAGTCATATATCAGACAGTGTTTCACTGCTATTCATAGTGTTTTCACTGGACAATTCCTTAAGAAGTAGATGGCTTCTTCCTTCTTCCAAGTCTGTCTCAGTCTGGCAGCTCTGCTGAAACCAGTCCACTATGGGCAATCCTGCTGGTGTTTGAAACACTGGTGGCACTGCCTCCCACCTCATAGCAACATGCAAGCCACCACAGTACAACAACAGACAAGTTCGTCTCCCTTAACTGTACCAAACCGTTTCACCCACTTCTCATTTGCTAGATACTGATGTTATATAATGCACTTACTAATTTAGGTCAAATCCATAATCCACCAGAACATCAACTAATTTCGGAAGACCTGATAATACAACAATGTAAAATGTTGTCTGGCCCTGGGAGTTAACTTCATCAACATAGATTCCTAGAAAACAAATGCCAGAGTCAATGCAAATACCAGGAATTTTCCTAAGATGGAATTTATACCTCAGTATAAAGAAAGAAAAACTCCTCTCAACTGTAATAAACAGCCTCATGATGAATGGAGAAAAGATTAAAATTGTCAAAAATTCCTTGGGTCCACAGTCAACACCAATGAAAGCAGCAGTCAAGAAATCAGATAATATATTACAATGGGTGAATCTGCTGCAAAAGTCCTCTTTAAAGTGTGAAGAGCAAAGAGGACTCTTTGAAGACTAGGATGTGCCTAACCCAAGCCATAGTATTTTCAATAGCTTCATATGCCTATGAAGTTGGACAATGAGTAAGGAAGACCAAAGAAGAATTGATGCTTTTGAGTTGTGGTGTTTGCAAAGAAAACTGAAAGTAATATTGACTGAAAGAAGAATGAAAAAATCTGTCTTGGAAGAAGTGTGGCTAGAATGTTCCTTGGAAGCAAGAATAGCCAAAATTCATCTCACCTACTTTGGTCATGTTATCTAAAGGAACCATTCCCTGAAGAAGGATATCATGCTTGGTAAAGTGGAGGGTCTGGGAAAAAGGGGAAGGCCCTCAATGAGATGGATTGACACAGTGGCTGCAACAATGGGCTCAAGTATAGCAAAAATTTTGAGGCTGACTCAGTACTGGGCAGTGTATCATTCTGTTGTACATAGGGTTCACCTTATGAGTCAGAGCCGACTCAATAGCACCTAGCAATAACAGCATGTTATTGTTCATTTCTTAGCTTTAACCAATATAACATGGCAATATGTTAATAGTTAAGGATATTGAGGAATTTTTGTGAGCTATCATATCATCTTTGTAAATTTTCCATAAATCTGTTTCAGGGCCATTAATAAATAAAATAAAAAGATTATTTAAAAATGAACATATTACAAACATCTGCCATATAACTAAATAGTTGTATATCACAACCTCATTGCTAAGCAGTATATATTCCATAATATCTATTAAATGTGATCATGCCTAAGAACATCAGGCAGATAGTAAGTGCTACAGTGTTCTTATAGCTGTTGTAATTTTGATCTGTATTCTACTGCCATTACTGGAAACATCCCCATTATGGGTCCTTCCTCATGCTTTGTCTTTGTTTTTACTTTCTTTATGCATTGAAATAGTGCTGTTTAACTTTAGAATTCGCTCTTCAATTTGAAGGCAGTGATGTTGAAGCCAACCTGGAAAAGCAGGATTGTAATTGTTTTTATTGTTATGTTTCAGTGTCATCCTAGTGGCTGTTTGATAGACCTCTGCCTCCAGATGGGTGTTATCATGTTTTTGAAGCAAATATGGAATAACTTCATGGAACTAGGATATCCGTGAGCACTTTATTTTGAATCTTGCTGTGTGCTCGTTACAAAGAGGAAAGATGGCAGTAGTGTAATTAATTCTTAAGAATTTGGACTTGGTAATCAGATAGATGATGGTTCAGTTCCTGCTCTGCTCCTTACTAAATGTGTGACCATGCATAAGTCATTAACTTTCTGAGCCTCAGTTTCCACATCTCTAAAAGGTGATCAACAGCTATATCTACCTCCACAATTGTCAGGAGGATGAAAGGAAATAATGGATGTAGAGTCACCGGAACACTGTACTCAATACATTAAGACTCTTGTAGTTATTATTGTAACATTATTGACTGTACTGTTTGGTGGGTGCAAAATTTCTTTTAGTTACTAGTAGACCAAAGTTGTTTAATAAAGAGAGTCTTCATTCTCCCGTAAAAGAATAAAACAGAGATAAAATCCTAGAAAGGAGAATTGGTACTCTTTGTTATTTAAAAAAAAAAATTAGGGCAAGATAGATTGTAATAACATCAATAATACAGCATGCTATGACTGTCCCTTTAGATAAATTGTAACCAGCTATGAAAGGCTGACATAGAAGGCTACTAAATATCCACTTTTACATATATACATTTATTAAATTATATTAACTTTCAAACTATAGTGTATATTTTTTTTTGAAAAATATGATATACAAGCTTTGGGACCCAATTAACACAAGGTTAAAAACAATTTTTAAAAGGAATATCCTGACTACAGGGGAAGAACTGGTTAGTTGATGATGAAAATAGCTTAAGCTTAGTCATCAAATAATACTCTGATTGTTTTTCCCTGTTGGCCTGCAAATTGTATCAGGATTTTCTTCAGCAGAGATCTTGGGACTGGAGGGAGATATTAACACCAAAGTCTGCCATAGAATATCCTGTGGAATTTGTGGAAGTTGTTTTTAGCAGCCATCCAGTTTAATCCTACTCATGAGGCCCCCAAGTGTGCAGGGGAGAACTGCTCCACAGGGTTTTTAAGGCTGTGGCCTTTCAGAAGCACATCACCAGGCCCATTTCCTGTCCCCTCAGGTGCCTCAACAGGAAGTCTTTGTCATGAAGCTTAAAGTATAGACTTTTGATAACCCAGATTTGGTTGAAATTCTTGCTTAATCACTTGCTAAATTTGCTTATAATTTCTTGGCCTCTTTAAGTTCTGACTTCTTTCACTTATAAAGTAGAGGATTTGTTAAAATAAAATGAGATGATCCAATGTTTTTTTAAAGTTTTAACAAACTTAACAAAGAACCTTCCTATAAAGAAATTTTTATACAGATCCTCAGTGTTCAGACCAGATTAAAGCCAATCTCTTCTAGTGGAAGAGAAATTAGGTGATGGGAGATCAGGGTGCTCTCTCTGTTCTTTGTATACCTTAGGCTTTCTTGGCTCACCTCTATCAAACATAGGACCTGAGGAACATCATTTGAAAATGCTTGAAGTAATTAGATATCATCATTCACTGCCATCGAGTTGATTCTGACTCACAGTGACTGTCTTTGGGTTTCTGAGGTGGTAAATCTTTATGGAAGTAGATTGCCCAGTCTTCCTTCCGTGGAGTGGCTGGTGGGTTTGAACCACCAACCTTCTGGGTAGCAGTCAAATGCCTTAGGCACTATGCCACCAGAGCCCCTTAATTAGATATCAGCCACTTAGCATGGGATCTGATGTGCTATGTTCTTCTTAAGTACCATCAGGATGATGTACTAGTCATTTTGGGGTTAAGAAAGGTCCTTATTGTTATCATTATACATAGGTTTCTAGTGACACCATGCACTTTGGAGAGCCCATTTTCATCATGGCTTGGCCCAAATGGTTAGTCTGATTGCGTATATATAATTTCCCCAAAGAAATAATGTCAGAATCAACTTGCTGGTATTTTTGTTTTTTCAAATCTTGGGCAAAAAGGCCTTGTAGATTAAGCGATCTGTCCCTAAAACAATGATGTTCAAATGTTTAAACTACAATTTTCTTTCTTCAAGTGAAATCTTAAACATAATTCAAATAAATAAAATAGAAAACAAAATTAATCCAATTCCAACCTCTAGCCCTTTTTCATCTTCACCAGCGTTGTAGGGATAACCTTCACTGACCCTACTTTGAAGCACTGTCTGTCATTTTAGTTTCTCTAGGGTTGCTCTTGCAATTCCTACTGAAACTCTAGGTTTGTGATTAATTAAAACAGAGAGATGAGTACTTTACACCGAGTCCTATGAGATTAACCTCATACTAGAGGTGATTTTCATCCAACTTTTAAAATAATTCATTCCCCAGAAGCCCACAATATTTGTATACCACAATTCTATCTGCACCACAGTTTCAAGACAGTCCCTAGGCCAGGATAAGACTTCCTTTGCAGGTTTGAGAAATGGACTCATGGACACAAATTCATTGTTGTTCCTTATCTTGGCAGAATGTTATTACAAAAGCTCAAATAGCTCATGTTTATAAACTGAGAGAGGTGAGGTTACTCTCTTAAAGTCACAGAGCTAATGTACTGCATGGTGGGGACTAGAACATAAGTCTTTTGAAAACCTATTGGAAAAAAAAAACAAACCAAACTCACGGCCATCAAGTTAATTCCCACTCATAGTGACCCTCTTTGTGTTTCTGGGTTTTAAATCTTTATGGAAGTAGATTGCCTAGTCTTCCTTCCGAGGAGTGGCTGGTGGGTTTGAACTACCAACCTTCTGGTTAGCAGTCAGATGCCTTAGGCACTACACTACCAGAGCTCCGAAAACCTATCTAGGACTCAGTTATTAAATGTGGAGCATGATTTTACTATGTTTCAAGAGCATAGCCCAGAAAGTTTGCTTTACGACCAATAAAGAGCTCAGAACAAATCACAACAGGCAAACTAGGGATTTACATGTTAAATAGATACTAGTTAGGGGAGCAATAATAGAAATGCATTTTTATGTAATCAACAGCAAAGAACCCTGCCATGTACAAGAGAATAAATTTATATATGGCTTTATTGGTTTTTATAGGCTCTAAAAGAGTGCTGGAACTGAGGCCAATTCTCCTGAGCTAACTTGGGACGTCAAGGCCTGCAAACATATTAAGTGTGTATCCAGGGTAGTTGGTGTTTTTGTTTCATAAAACACTATAAATTGTGAATCATATGCTGTAAAAAAAAAAAAAAAAAAAGTGCTTAAAAGCTCTTGGTCTGCTGTATGATTTAGGCTGATCCAGAACTGGTGGTCAAGACATAAAATCAAGCGGGGAAACCAAGATGCATCCATACCTCAGTGGGAAAATGATTGGAATCTACAGCCCATGAATATTCACGGACTGATGGATGAGTACTTAGAAATGGGTAAGAAAAATGAAAAGCCTGCATGGGGATATTTAACCTTTATGGTACTTTATCTACATCATTCAGGCTTTTGTTTAAAACATAAAAGGTGGAAAATCTTGCTTCTGAGATAATATTTTTAAGAAATAAAATAATGCAAATTCAATTCCTGTGCTAAGAAACTTACCATCCCACCTAGATAATGTAATATTTCCTTTTTAGAACAAATCTTTGCATCATCCCAGTCTGAATCTTGCTTATTCGAGATGCTTACCTATTCGTATTTAGCAAATAAAGATTTCCATTCTGTAAATATTATAACCACTGAGTGTTGGTGAAGGGGCCCTTGTGGCACAGTGGTTAAAGAGCTCAGCTGCTAACCAAAAGCTCACCAGTTCAAACCTACAAGCCTTTCCACAGAGGAATGATATGACAGTCTGCTTCTTTAAGGACTTTCATCCTTCAAAACCATATAGTAGAGTGCTACTCCATTGTATTCAGAAGGAAGATTGGGCCATCTACTTCCATAGTGACCCCCTCAAAAACCCAAGGAGGGGTCCCTATGAGTCAGACCCGACTCCTCAGCAGTGAGTTTGGTTTGGCTTGGTACTGTATCCTATGGGGTCACTATGAGTCAGAATCAACTCAACAGCAGTTGACCGTGTTGCTTTGATATTTGCTTTTCCCTATCCTTAATCTTCTCATCTGTAAAACAGAGAAAAGATTAGCTGCCTTAGGTCCCTTCCAGTGTCATTTTTCTTTAGCCCCTCCTTTCTCCCTTTCCCTTTTGCTTTATGCTGCACGACTGCCCAGTCTAGATGTGGAAAGTACATAAATGTTCAACCCATACAGGTCTGAGTTGGAATGCACATTCTAAAATTTTCTCATTATCATTTGGCAAATTAATTAACAAATGTGAGCGATGGTTTCCTCCCATGTTAAATGAGAATAACACTTTTTTGAAATGTTGAAAAGGATTAAAGGCAATTATGTCAACCAGCACAAATAAGCTGCTCAACAAATGATATTATTCATATTATTAATTTTCTAATGCTCTCCTTTTCCAGTTCTGCAGTTTGGTTTTACTACCATCTTTGTTGCGGCTTTTCCTCTGGCCCCTCTATTGGCTTTGTTAAACAATATCATTGAAATCAGGCTGGATGCATACAAGTTTGTCACCCAGTGGCGGAGGCCTCTGCCAGCCAGAGCAACTGATATCGGTAAGATTAAAAAATTAAATGGTTTGCATGGCTAAGGCCAAGAGATGACTTGATCACTTGAGTACCACTTAGATTTCTGCTTCCAGAACTTTCTTTTGACCTTAACACAATTGACCTCCTTTACTTAGAAAAAATAAATAAAATGAACACCAACATAGTTGACGTGATTTCTGGTAGAAAGCTGCTCTGTCTCTTGTGAATCTCAAATTTTAGCTGTGAAAACATTTTTGCAAATAAAAAAGCTCCCATTGGTTAAAATTATTATTCTAGGTTCTCTTTTCTAGATAGAATGTGAATACTCCTGTGTATGATACCCATTCCTAGAAATCATTGAAGAATATTTCTGCTAAAAAATATATTTAAAGGGTAACAAAACTGATTCTTCTTGAACATAACCAATCACCTCACAGGAATGGTTTTCTTGGTTCAAAAATTTAGGGTCATGGTTTAATGCTGTAACTCAGTCATTTGGCTCAATATAGTTCATTGAGTTTATGTTCTATATCCTAGTCTGGTGAGTAGTGCCAGGGGTCTTGAAAGCTTACAAGCAGCCATATAAGATACAATTATTGGGCTCCACTTGTCTGGAGCAAAAGGAAAAATAAGGAAACCCAAGACTTAGAATAGGAACCAATCTATAGGACTACATGTCTACATAAACCATGGCCTCCTTTACCATGAGACCAGAATGACTAAAAGGTGACCAGCTACCAATGCCAAATGTTCTGATGAAAGTGATAATAGATGGATTCTATTACAAAGGGAGAAGAATGTAGAACACAACTTAAAATTATTTAAAAATCCAAATTTATTGGACACAGTCAAATGGTAGGAATACTGAGGGAATTTCCCTGAGATATTCTTTGAGCCTTCAAATAAAATTATGCCCTCAAGTCACCTTTTAACTAAATAGCAGGTTAGCCTGTTATTGTTGTTAGGTGCTGTTGAATTGATTCCAGCTCATAGCAACCCCATATAAAACAGAACAAAACATTGCCTAGTCCTGCCATCCTCACAACCATTGCAAGTTTTGATCCTATTGTTGTAGTCAGTGTGTTGTTGAACTTGCTGCAGGGCTTCCTCGTTTTCTCTGACCTTCTACTTTATCAACATGAGGTCCTCCTCCAGGTACTGGCCCCTCCTGAAATATATCCAGAGCACATGAGATGAAGTCTTGTCATTCTCCTTTTAAAGAGCATTCTGGCTGTACTTTTTCCAAGAAAGATCTGTTCATTCTTCTGGCAGCCCGTGTTACATTCAATATTCTTTGCCAACACCATAATTAAAAGGCATCAGTTTTTCTTCACTCTCTAGCTTTCGCATGCTTTTGAAGTGAAGGAAAATACCATGGCTTGGGTCTGGCACACCTTAGTTCTCAAACTGACATCATTACTTTTGAACACTTTCAAGAGGTCTTTTGCAGCAAATTTGCCCATTGTAATTCATCATTTGATTTCTTGACTGCTGCTTCCATGAGCGTTGATTGTGGATCCAAGTAAAATGAAATCCCTGACAACTTCTATGTTTTCTGCATTTATCATGATGTTAATTATTGGTCCAGTTGTTAGGATTTTTATTTGATTTATGTTGAGGTGTAACTCACACTGAAGGCTGTGATCTTTGATCTTCACCAGTAACTGCTTCAAGTCCACTTTGCTTTCAGCAAGCAAGGTTGTGCCATCAGAATATCATAGGTTGTTAGTGAATCTTTATCAGGAATTTATGAGTTCTAATCAGAAAGCTATCCTGATGCCACATTGTTCTTCATATAGTCCAGCTTCTTGAATTATTTGCTCAGCATACAGATTGATTAAGTATGGTGAATGGATACAACCTTGATAAATACCATTTTTAAACCATACAGTATCCCCTTATTGTGTTCTAACAACTGCCTCTTGGACTACGTACAGGTCCTACATGAGCACAATTAAGTGTTCTGGAATTACCATTCTTTACAATGTTAACTATAATTTGTTATGAGCCACATAATCGGAAACCTTTGCATAGTCAGTGAAACACAAGTAACATCTTTTTAGTATTCTCTTCTTTCAGCCAAGATCCATCTGACATCTGCAGGGATAGCTCTCATACTAAATATGATTTCATGAACTTGTTCATAACAGAGAAGTATCATAGATATTTTTCCATATTAATAAAAGTAAGTCTGTCTTACTCTTTTTAATTGCTGCACAGAATTTTGTTTTTTGTTGTATGACTTTTTAAAAAAAATCAGTTCTCTAACTGGAGATGTTTAGATTCCTTTGGTTCTTTGTTCTTATACACAAACACTGAGATGAACATAGTGTGTTTTATCTGATTAATTTCTCAAGCTAAATTCCTAGAATGAAACTATTGTGTTAAAGAACATGTGCATTTAAAATATTGATACATTGTATGGCAACATGTCCTCCAGAAATATTGTGCTAATTGACACTCACACCGTAAGTATATAAATGTCCTTATCTTCATTTTTCAATAACTCCAGGTTTAATGAGCTTTTAAAAAAATACTTGACTACAGCAAAGGAAAAAAAAATATGGTATTATATTTATTTGCATTTTTATGACTATGAAATCAAATATATTTTTGCATATTTATTGGCTATTTGCTTTTCTTCTCTTCCTAGTTGTGTTTATGCCTTTTGGCCATTATATCTAATTCAGTAATTTTTGTCTCCATATTAAGAACATTAACATTTTGATATGTTGTTGTTGTTGTTGTTGTTGTCAGGTGTCATCAAGTCATCTCCCACTCATAGTAACCCTGAGCACAGCAGAAGAAAACACTGCCTGGTCCTGCCCCAGCCTCACAGTCCTTGCTATACCTGAGCCCATTGTTACAGCCACTGTGTCATTCCATCTCATTGAGGGCCTTCTCCTTTTTCACTGACCCTCCACTTTATCAAGCGTGATATCATTCTCCAAGGAATGGTCCCTCCTGGCAACATGACCAAAGTAGATGAGACGAAGTCTGGCCATTCTCACATACAAGGAGCATTCCGGCTGCACTTCTTCCAGGACAGATTTTGTTAGTTCTTTTAGCAGTCCATGGTACTCTTGAGAGCTCTGGTAGCATAGAGCCTAAGGCACTTGACTGCTAACCAGAAGGTTGGCGGTTCAAACCCACCAGCCACTCCTTGGAAAGAAGGTTGGGCAATCTATTTCCATAGTGACAAATAGAAACCCAAGGAGGGGTCGCTATGAGTCGGGTCTGACTCGACAGCACATAATGACAACAACAACATGGTACTCTTAGCATTCTTCTCCAACACCACAACTCAAAAGCATCAACTCTTCTTTGGTCTCCCTTATTCATTGTCCAGCTCTGACATGCATAAGAGGCAATTGAAAATACCATCGCTTGGGTTAGGCACACCTTAGTCTTCAAGGTGATATCTTTGCTCTTCAGCACTTGAAAGAGGTCTTTTGCAGCAGATTTTCCCAACGCAATCCTTTGTCTGATGTCTTGACTGCTGCTTCCATTGGTGTTGATTATAGATACCAAGTAATATGCAGTCCTTGACAACTTCAATCTTTCCTCCATCCATAGTGAAGCTGTTTATTGGACCAGTTGTGAGGATTTTCATTTTCTTAATATTGAGGTGTAATCCATACTCTAGACTGTAGTCTTTAATCTTCATCAGTAAGTGTTAAAACTCATCCTCACTTTCAGCAAGCAAAGTTTGTCATCTGTGTATCACAGGTTGTTAATGATTCTTCCTCCAATCCTGATGCTACATTCTTCTTCATATAAGCCAGCTTCTCAGATTATTTGTTCAGCATAGAAATTGAATAAGTATGGTGAAAGGATACAATCCTGACACACTCTCTTCTTGATTTCATACCATGCATATCTCCTTGTTCTGTTTAAATGACAGACTCTTGATCTATGCACAGGTTCCTCAAGAGTACAATCAAGCGTTCTCGAATTCTCATTCTTCTCAATGTTATCCATAATTTGTTATGATCCACACAATCAAATGCTTTTGCATAGTTATTAAAACGTAAGTTAACATCTTTCTGGTATTCTTTGCTTTGAGCTGAGAGCCATCTAACATTAGCTATGATATCCCTTGTTCCACATCCTTTTGAATCCAGCTTGAATTTCTGGAAGCTCTCTGTCAATATGTTATTTGCCATAACATAACATAACATAACATATTGACAGAGAGCTTTCAGAAATTCAAGCTGGATTCAAAAGAGGATGTGGGTCAGGGTTGTATTCTGTCTCCACACTTATTCAATCTATATGCTGAGCAAATAATC